GGTTTCTGGCATGTACCTCTGTGGGCCCCAGAGCACCAGAAAATGGCATGAACCCCCCCCCACCCGGCCTGAAAATTGCCCAAAAAATGACACGTCGGCTAGCTGGTCCAGTTTGGGCACTCAGTGCTGAAAAGGTTCGCCATCACTGCACTATACAGTGCCTTCTGAGATAACGTTTTACAAAATAAATATTTAAATATCTTACCCTAAATATACATTCATGCTCTGAATATTTTCTGGAAATAGTTTCCCATTCTCCTGTTTTATGATGGTGTTTCTTATATTGTTTAACTGTAAAATAAAACAAAATAAACCTATGATTTTGTTATGAAAATATTATTTATATACTGTCCTGACATATACAGCACATTAAAACATTAATAAAATTAATACAAACAACTTCCTCAGTCACAAAACGCTGATCAACATCATTTTACATTTTTAGAAAAGCATTCAATATTTCAGAAACTACAGAAACTACATAAGTTTGTTTCTTTGTAATTATTTATCTAGCACATATTTAGAAAAAACAAAACACTTGTCTGTTTGCCATAAAGTTGGTGCTGCTAACCTGTAATCTGAGTAATCTTTTTCAACCGTGGTAACAAATCAAGGTTAAGATATAGAAAGAGTTATTGAGAACTATCGGTTTATCTGAATTTAACTCCATATTAGTCAAGTAAGTAGGATACAAACCTACTGTATTTGAATTTGCTTGCAGAATTGTTGCTATTGATAAATACATCAATTCATCTGCAGCACATATACAATTTATATCCGGATAAATTGTTGAAATTAAATGGAGTCATGTGACATTGTTTGAGCCCTTTTAAACCTGTAACTTATGTTCTTCTTATCAAAGATGGTAGATGAAAAGTTAGACACAAAATAGCATAGTGGTGTTGCAGATCGTATTTGGAAAGAACAAAGATTTCACCTAAATGCATTGAGGATTTTGGCTGCAAGCTCTGAGAGATCAAAGATGCTTCTGTTTCTTGAGTCCACAACTGAATAAAGTTCATTGCAAGAAAAAGCTAAGTTGCAGGGATATGCAGTCTTACTAGTAAACTTCACCTAAGTACTCTATGGTACTTTATCAATTATAATCCCTTTTTTAATAATAGATTTATCATTTTAAAAAATTAAACAGATTTAGGACCATACTGTTTATTAAGTATGTGTACGGTGCAAAATTATATATGGATACCATGTGATACATTTCAATGTCTATGGTAACTGGTAGCAAGTTGGGGAATAAGAGTTAAATGAAAATACCACGATTTTGATCAGGATTCAATCATATAGCAATTAAAACTGTTTTTTATTGTAAAATTAGTAAAATTACTAATTTTAAACAATCATAATTTTACAAAATATTGAAATACCTCTCCCATCAAATCATCACCAGTAATAACAGCTATCTTCAAGTCAACATTAGCATTTCTGGCAACTTGGTGAAGAGCAGCAGCACACCCAAGTGGATTCATTCCACCAGCATTACTGATAACACGAACACCTAAACAAAATTAAAGCTTCATAACAGTGGGCACATACCTAAGACATATACCCAAACCCTAATTTAAGAGACTAATGAGAACTGATATTTGTTAAAACCAAATACCGATTCCTTTTTAACAATAAATAATGAATAACGTCCCTTCTGACAAGATCTGATTCATCAGATAACGTCTTTGTATTCAGTATTTTTTTATCTATAGCAATATTTATAAAATTAAACCTACATCTAGTAAATCAAAGGTTTACTATCATTTAATTTCTCATTAAGTTGCTCAGACTGTTATGAGACCAAATTACTATAAATTATTTTAACGGCTTATTCTATTTAGACTTTAAAATGTCACATATATCTCACGATTGCTCTCAGATTTTTTGTTTATAAACTGAAAGAAAATTTTAAAAATAATTGTAAGGACTGAGAGTTTTTGTCATGCTGCCAGGAGGTGAGATTCACATAGGACTGATCATAGGTTTTGGTTCTGCCTGTCTTTAACAACTTAGCAGAAATTCTGGGTCAGCTTGAACCTGCAGACTAAGTGATCACAAAGGCCAAGGACTGTGACTTGACATTTGAAGAAAAGGCATTACTATTTCAACAGCTGTAACTTAATAGACAATGAACCAAAACTCCAAATAATTACATGTAATATTTCAGAACTGTAAACTGGAAGAAAATAATTGTGACTTCTTAATTAATATAAACAACTATTATAAACATCAATATGAAATTATGACAAAAAATATGCCCAACATACCTTTCCTGCGTATGTCCTTTATATAAGGAGCCATTGCAACTGACACAAAATCAGGAATGTATCCCAAATCCTAAAAAAAAAGCCACCCAAATAAACTGAAGCATTTTACCAGACAATATATTATTTTCTGTTGTTCATTACAGTGCCATAAAACCCTCCTCAGAAACAACTATAAAGTTTCCATTTTTTTCCAAAATAAAATCCATTTTTAAAAAAAGAAAAGCCGTACTGTATTTCACACAAGATTGTTCTTCAATTGACAGCTGAAATTAAACTTTAATTAAACAATATCAATGTCCTGCAGATTTTATATAAAAAAGATTTTACAAATAAAACATATGCCAGCAGAACAAATTCACTTTCCTTACAAGCAGTCCATTTCAAACATCCTTGGTCGAGGGACGTTATAGGACATGTATAAGAAAGCAGAATGAAATAAGAGAATTGTTTATTTTGCAAACTTATGTCCATTCCTGCACCTGCACAATATAGCAAAATCCATTTTTCATAGGCAGAAAATCCAATAGAATTAAATTGTATTCATTTTTACAGACATATGCATGTCTAAAGCCTTTTAAAAATCAATATTCTTTCAAAATCTCTCCTTCTAAAGTATCAATGCAATCTTCCCAAATTATTTAGGGGAGTACTTTCTAAAGCCACTTCCTCTTTAGTGACCTACTGCTTCTTACAATGCTACCATCATTGCTATGAAAATGTAAAAAGCCTGGATTTATTACTGCTATTGTAAGACATGGATGACTCTAATAAGTGCTGCAAGTCATTGATAGGGAAACAGCTGAAATTAAACTAGGAAGATATACCAAATCATCAGCAAATATCTTGTTCTATTTCTAGATATTTCCTTTTTGCAATGAAAACTACAATTCAGCTCCAAAAAAAGCATTCCCAAACTCTAAACTTTTTGTGGCTGGCACTTCTGAATAAAAACCAAAGGCTTTTGCTAGCCAATTGTTTTTGAACAATGAAATTATTTGAAGTTGAAGATTTGGTTTCCGACATGTTTTCTGTAATAAAAATACTTCAAAATAATTCCCTTGAAATTATTTAAGTGGCTCTGGTTATGTTAGAGTTCAGTCTTACTCTTCTTTCTTAAGCAAATTTTCCAGTTGGCATAGATTTTTGCATTTTGTCTCTACAAGAAATATTTCTGAATTGTTCAGCTGTAGGAAAAAATTAAGCAAATGCTGTCCTTAAGAAATGAAAAACTAAAAAAGCTATTAATACAAATTATAATGCAATTAGAGCTGCAGAGAAAGTGCATTTTAGGTTGAAGTAATTAAGTTGCAGGAACACTGTTCAGTTAAGTGATCTATTTCTTTCAAATTTTACTGTTCTAGCATTTCAAAAATTCTAGATAAGTTAAAAGTTATGTTATACAACTCTTACAGCTTTAACAGTTCAGGGAAAAGGGCGGCCTATAAATCCCAAATAAATGAAATGAAATGAAATGAAATGATATAGAATGGATTCTTTTCTAGGTTTTATTTTCCCAAAATTGCAAAAATATACTTACTGGAGATTTGGCTTTGGCCCTAGCTAGTAAAGACATTGTAATTTCAGAAAGATAATCAAAAATCAGGAAATCCAGCTTTCCCCCGTAGAGCAGCTGAGGAACTAATAAAAGAAAATCAAGAGAAAAAGATTACAAATGGCGAGATGTTGCCTTTCATTAAGCAAACAATTATTAACACTGTGTTGAAAATTGACTTTAATATGGACAAAGATCTAGACAATACCCTTATACAACATGATGAAAAAATTACTATAATACTTAATAAATTTAATTCACAATAAATTCCAAAAGTTGCTCATCCGTGTTAGATAATTTTTAAAATGTAATTCAAAAAACAAGATAAATGTGCATATACTCCTTCCCATATGAGAGGATTAATTTTTAAAACTCAATGCCAAATCTCATTGAACTTATGTAGTGATAAAATATTTCTCAAATATCCATGAAGTTTTTTATTAAGATACAGATTACTAGTTTTGTCTCAAGTTTACTTGGCCTTGCAAATATTATTAGTAAACCAGATGGAGTTTCACTTTAGCTATGAAATGTGTTTTTAGCTCCAATCTACTTGGGTAGAAGCCCCACTGCTTAAAGTCATTTTTTAAAACTTGGCAACTTTAAGATGTTTGAACTTTAACTCCCAGAATCCCCTTTCTGGTAGTTGAAGTCCACACATCTTAAAAGTTGCCAAGTTTCTTGCTTATGAAAATATATTTTCAGTTAAGGTTTTGTCCATGCTAACTTGAGAAATTACTCTTATGAATTTTGCCTTCATTCTTATGACTATAAAATTATATTGTGCATGTTATGCCCTGACTTGCTTACTGTATATCCCCTTCCAGTATAACTGTAGTCTCCTGTTCTGTTTCCTAAATCCATCAGAATGTTGTGTAATGGGAATAAAGAAGGAGCTCTCAGCCTTGCTTCTAGTTTATTCATGGTGTCCCTTCTTTGACATCATCCCTCCTGGGTTCAAATATATATTTTTTCTTGTTAAATGTGAATATTCACTCTTTCAGAGGTTTAAGAATTATACAGTATAAGGCAAATGATTAATCTTTCAACAACTCTTCCAAACTGCTCCCAAAAAATAAAAGTTTATTTTCAGATCACGCATGTGAAAAAAGTTAGAAAGTTCCGGGCAATGGGAAGATTTGTGTTTTGACTTCTCCAGTTCAAGACTCCCAATTCTCCAAGACTCAGGTGCGAGTCATTTTAAGAGCGGCATAATGAAGTAAATGGACGTTTTGGGAGAGAGATCTGTTGGAAGGCCCGCGGTGGAAATGCGCAATGTGCAGAATACAGACGGGCTTCCGTTGGGATATTTGTAGCACCGTGAAGTTGGGCAAATTGTTAATGACACAAATAGAGATGGCTATAAGTCAGAACACAAATACGTCGAGAGGACGTAAGCGAAAGGTCTTACGACGCATGCGTGTAGCGTGTACTCGTAGGTCAGTTCATTGAGGAGCGCTGGCGAGTTCTCTTCCCGACATAGGAACGTGAGGGTGGAGCGGCGAGTGTTTTCCGTTCGAATCACATTTAGTTTGCGGAGATCTCGCCATGTAAGCGGCCCTAGCAGCTGCCTGTCGACGGGCGTAAAAAAAAAAAAAAGGGCCTGTGCTTTGCGGCCGAGCCTCCCTCTAGCGCGGCTTCCTCGGAAATACCTGCGGCCGCAGTGTCGCCCCAGAAGCCCGAGGCGCAGCCGATCCGCACCGAGCGCGGCTCAGAAGTGCCTGCTTCGCTGCTGCAACGTCGGCTGCAGGTACAGCTGTTTCCTGTCCACAGCCAGGAGACGGCGGTGGCCCGAAGACCCACGAACGCGCGACGGTACATGGTTGTCTCCTCATTAGGCGCGGCCTGGGCGGGCTTTTCCGCGGGAAGTTTTGTGGAAAAGGCCCGCTTGCGGCCGATGTCAGTCACGACACATATTCTCTCCTGATCTTTTTGCCACTGGATGATTACTGTTTTTCCAGGCAGAACATCGGCAATGGCCCCTACTTGTCTTGAGAGACGAGAAGTTGAAATCAGATACTGAAAGGGTTGCCTAGAACAGTGTTTCTCAACCTTGGCTACTTGAAGATGTCTGGACTTCAACTCCCAGAATTCCCCAGCCAGACATCTTCAAGTAGCCAAGGTTGAGAAACACTGGCCTAGAAACACTGGGACCGAGTTTGCGGGGAGCCGGAAGAATCATGTTTCCTGATTGTGGGAGATAAAATGTTAACTTGGAGGGGTCCTTGGTGCTCTCTGAGCTTGGTTGTTTTCTTGTAGACGTTTCATTACCAGACTAGGTTAATACCAGTACACCAAGGTCTTCTCGTTTCATTCCTGAGCTACAAATATTCTTTATTGATAACATTAAACTTGAAAAAATAAGACACACACATACCATTAAAGGGGCTTGTATTTTGTGGGAAGCCCCCCACCTAGAAGAATGAAATATTTTGAGGAATATTTTNATAAATAAATAAATAAATAAATAAATAAATAAATAAATAAATAAATAAATAAATAAATAAATACGAAACAGTTCCCAAGACTCCAAAGTTTTTACTTTCTCAAGTTTTTTTTAAATTTATTATTTATAAATGTATCAAATCAAATCAAATAATAAGATTCTAGCCTTCCCCAACTCGGGCCTGGTGCATGGATTTGGACTGCAATGGGCACCCAATTAAAGACGGAGGGTGTGTTCCATTGGCAATGTACTTAATTAAGTACAATAATTACAGCTCATCGTTTCAAGCTGAAGATTTCCATTCTTCCACTAGATGGAGAAAAAACCCTTCAGAAGAGCGGAAGAGTTCAAGCGGCCGCTGAAAAGCTTCCCTCCCTGTTTTAACTGACGGCATTTCTTTTTCTGCCAAAGGTTCCTTCCTTTGTTCGCCTGGTGAAGTCACCTGGATTTCACAGGCTTCGGTCCCTGCAGGTGATACAAACTGCTTTAGAACCTGCCGTGTGTCTCTCTGAAGAGGAAAACAATTCTTAATATGTTGTGTGGCTTCTTTTCTTTTCCTTTTTGGACAAGGTTGATGATAAACAAAAATATAATAAGGTCGGTTGGTTTTGGAGGAACGAAACCAATACGGCATGTTTCCCTCGTGGTTTTGATTCCATTGCAAAGCAATTTATCTTTGCTCGCACTTAGCGACTCATGAATTGAATTGAATTGAATTTATTATATTTCTATGCCGCCCTATTCCCAGAAGGGGTTCAGGGCGGCTCAAAAACCAAGTCAGGGGGGGTGGGGGGATACAAATAGGAAAAAAAAGACATGGACGAAACAATACCACAATTTAAAACAATCAACAGCCACACCATTCGAGTGGGGACAAGAACTCATCAGCCCCAGGCCTGTCGGAACAGCCAGGTTTTAAGGGCTTTGCGGAAAGCCTGGAGGGTGGTGAGGGTCCGAATCTCCACGGGGAGCTCGTTCCAGAGGGCACTTCAACCCAAACTGAATCTTCCGTGCGGAAATTCCCGTACTTGGTAATGTTGGGAGAAATGTCCATCCGGGTTCGGTTCCAAGTGGAGAGAAAGAGACTGGGAACATGGAGACTGATTGAAAAGATGGTTTAATGGTGGTGGGGAAGACCACATGATTTGTGATCCTGGGCAAAAAGGGCAGAGACGCTGAGAGTGCCCAGGTTTTATACCCTTTCTGGGCTTTTGAATTTGAGCTTGTATTCTGATTGGTTGTCAGGCTCCCATGGGGCCATGCAGGGACAACTCTGTAGGCTGTCCTGAGTCCCAGGCTTGGTTGAATCTTGCTGGGTGATGATGTAATGAAAGGGCTTTGAGCAATTCCTACTATGGCTCTGCCTGAAGGAGGTAGATCTTTGGTATATAGAATAGACTGGCTCAGGCCTTAATGGCCCATTGACAAAGGTGTTGTGAGGGTGAGTTTCCGCCTCTCTTTTAGGGGGAAATATTCTGCCTTTTTAATATTTCCTAAAACATTTCAACTTTCTAGGAGAGGGCGGGGAGTACTAACTTCCTACACTAATGCAAAAGTGCTTTGGTGGGCCACATTTACTATGGCACTGGAAAACAAATTATTTAATTTGAATTATTGTCAAAGAAGACTCCTCCACCATGTCAGATCCAAATATGATACAAATACAGAGAATATTAAGAAGTGTGGGAATCCCCCCTCCTAGAAGAATGAAATATTTTGAGGAATATTTTAAAAAGGCAGAATATTATATTTTCCTAAATGAGAAATGGAGAAACATGGGTATTTTTTAGAGGCAGGAAGCAGACTCACACTTTCTTAATAGCACCCCCCCCCCAGATGTTTTGTGCCCATTAATAAAGACTGGGCCAGCTTATCTACAAAACAAAAGACCTTTAGCTCCAGAATGATGGGATTAATAAAAACAAGACATAATAGGATTAACCCATTACCATTTAGCAGACCAAACAGAGCTCACTACATTGCACAATCTTTTAAGGGCATTTGAGTCATTGCATCATCTCAGAGCAGCCCAAACTTCAACCAAACCTGGGAGTTCAGACAACTCCTAGGATTTCCATTTCCTCTTATGCCTATAGAGCCATCTATGACCCCTACATAACCCCTACATGACTCCACAGGGATCTGACAACAGCCCATAGAATACATGTTCTTGCACAGGAACAGGAAGCCCAAGTGCAAAGCCCAAAGAAAATATAAAACCCTCCACTCTCAACTCCATGTTGTCAGTTGCTCAGAACCACAAACCCACATGGTTCTGCTTCATGAATAAACCATCTTTCCAATCAGCCTCCATGTTTACAATGTCTTTCTCCCAGCTTGGAATGGACCCAGATTTATATTCCTTCCAACAAAATAGAAATGCAGAGTTCAAGATCATCTGGCCACCATCTTCGCTAATAAAACGAAGCACAAACTCTGAAATGAAGCTTCTGCTGATATACATGTTGTCAGGATTCCAAATAGCATCTAAAGGTAAATCAGAGTCCGAGGCAAAGCATTCCTCAAAGTTCCTATTTATTAACAGAGCCATGTTGGCACAACTAGGAAAACCCGAATATGAAGGCGTCCTGGTTTTCCCACCCAGCTGAAAGTTCAAGATCTTGCCCCCACACCTACAAGTCCATCACATGGTCCAATCTTCTACTGCCATGCTGGCAGCTTCCACCCATCCAGTTCTGGTCAGGTGAGGAGGTGCCCACACGAAGGATGACCTTGACTTTCTAGAAAGAATTTTGTTATGGCTACATACCATCTAACTCCGTACAATCCCCCCTCCCATTTTCCCCACAATAGAAAATGCATAGTAGAAGAATAGAAAGTGTGGCAGGCCTAAGATCCACCAGAAAATATGGCTGCAGGCCTGACATATGTAAGGATATAAAAACAGATTTTTGCCCTATAAAAAATCCAGATGACCACTAGATAGAAAGAACAAGGAAGTATTTCCTATATCCGCAACCTCGTGGTCTCAGGATTTTTCACATCTGGTAGCCCAAGGAAGCAATTTTAAATTCTAAGCCCAGAGCTAATTGCAGGTTAGTCCAAAATTCGTTTTTAGTATCTGCCTTTAAGCATTTCTGGCAAACTGGAACAGTAAGTAAACCTGTTTGTAACTACATAAAGACAGCCAAACAGCAACAGGGAAGCACGTTGACATCTTACAGCAACCTGACTGGTTCTATTGACATTTCATTACTCCCTAATCTATGATTCCACAGAGAAATCAAATGTACTTACCTATATTATTTGTAGTATTAGAGGAGAAAAAATGCTAAAAGGAAATTTATCACTGCAATAAGATCTATTCATGGAGCATGATGTTCCCAGGCTTTGACCTATGGAATAATCTACACATCTGGTACAAATTTACAGTGATATATGTATCAAAACTGCATAGGTTTGGAAAAAAAAGAAATAGCCATCTCTTTGGGCACAGTCTCGTATAACGAGTGTTATAAATTCTCCAAAGTAGGACTAGGCAATTTATTATGATTTCTGGTTTGCCTCCAAGATCACAGAATCGCGAAAACCCCAAAGCTTGAGGCACATCATTCATCTTTTCACCTGGATTCCTGCAGTGAGAGCAGGAATGGAAAATTGCCTGGTTGAGTAATCTCCTCTCCTGCAGTGCAGCAAGGACAGAAAGACAAATCAAAGGCTACACAGCCAATCCTGACAAAATCAGTGTGTTTTTTTTTCCTCCCAAGCCAAGACCCTTCCTTCAAGAAGATCAGACTCGATCCTGCTCCAATCTCATGGGGAAGCAATTTCCGTAATCTGCCCAGGTTTCATCATATTTAAATCTCTATATATAAAAGCCAAGTACCATTCACTCATCACGAAATCTCCAGAACCGTAAAGCCTACAAACTTAAAATTTGCCACGTATGTTCCTCTTGGCTTCTAGGTGCTTGCTAAGAAAGGATTTTTCGAAATGACCATCAGATCTTTACTATTTCTTAATACAGTAATTAATACACACTGATGCTAAAGAGTTGTACTCCCCCTCCCCACCTGAAAAGAGCTCTGTTCCAACTGCCAATTGCCTCACGTTCCGTTACCTCAGTCCAAACTGGCAGATGTTCCACTCCTTTACTCTGGGACTCCTTACAGTACTAAACGTCGGTACCTCACCAAAATGTCTATGCCTTCCACTCAAGGTGGTGGGAGCAATGTTCCCTTACGTGTTTCAGTCACCGACCACCACTGAGCCAATGGATCCTGCATAGCCCAATCACATAGTTTTGTCACGAAGCACATGTATCCAACTAGTATATAATATGCAGGATGTTCAAACATCCAGGTATTTTTGCAATTGTTTTTATGGTTTGATTGTACACCATGCAGAGTGACATTTCATGAAATGGATGCTATATAAATAAGATAGCTAGATAGCTAGATAGCTGGATAGCTGGATAGCTAGATAGCTAGATGATAGCTAGCTAGAGTAGATAGCATTGAATAGGAGAGATAGATGATACAAAGGATAAATAGGATAGATGAAAAAGAAGATAGATGATAGATAGATAGATAGATAGATAGATAGATAGATAGATAGATAGATAGATAGATAGATAGATATTATAAGCCAAGCAATTATTAACTGGAGGTGATGATGCAAAGGAATATTAGTCTCACGTGGCTCTTCAAGTCAATTCAGGAGTGTCCAACCTGTGTGTTGTGTCTCCTTTGACAATTAAAAGTATATTTACTGAACAATGCCAGGATTTTGAGTTAACTAGCTTGCACTTCAACATGACATAAATAACTTACCCTTTTTTTTCCCCGACCCCCGAAAAAAATAAACAAGGAAGAAGAACCTATTATTGACCTGGCTTTCCCCCCAAGAACAATCAACTATCTTAATTTAATTTTAAGCCACCTTTAAGGGCTCTTAATGCCTTGATTCCCTTGTTAGTGTCTTCAGTCTCATTGGGAGAAGCATTGAAAGCTAGAGAATTGGACAACT